CAGGGCTCCTGCAGTGTGTGTGGGCTGCTTTAAGAGGAGTATTTTCTCTATTGGTCCTGTGCTGGTTCATTGCCATGAGAGTGCACTCATCCCAGTAAATAGAGAACTGCAGATACAGATTTCACAGGGAAAATTAAAAAAATATTATTATTTATATATTTAAAAAAGTTAAATTATTTGCTTATCACATGCTCTTATCCGTGTTAGTTAGGTAGTGGGGAGCTCAGCTGTAACGAACTGTCTCTGTCTCCAGACCTGTGACTTTTTAAGACAGTGGATGGTCGATTTATCCAAGATCGTTTTCCCTCTCTCTCTCTCTCACCAGGAGTGACAGTTCCTTCAATTTCTTCCTCTTCTTCTTCATCTTCTTCACCCAGATTGTTGTATACATCCTCATGGCCATCGGTATCCCTAACTGGGGCTTCAGGTACGAGAGAGAGAGACTGTACCGTCAGACCACTGGCATAACATTCAGAGAACTACAATTCCCAGGGATCCCTGCACCCCACCCTCAGAGGAAGGTGCTCTTGTCTGTCTGATTGGCTGCCTACTGTTGCCGTGGTGTCATTGCCAGGCAACCTCTCTTGCCCTCACTAGAGCCATGTGCAGACAAACATAGCAAAACTGAACATGCTCACCCCTCACAACCCTGCCAGGACAGCTCTCAGCCCTTGCATGCAGTGACACAGGCACATGTAGACATGCATGCACACACAGGCACATGTAGACATGCATGCACACACAGGCACATGTAGACATGCATGCACACACAGGCAAATGTAGACATGCATGCACACACAGACACATGTAGACATGCGTGCACACACAGGCACATGTAGACATGCGTGCACACACAGGCACATGTAGACGTGTGCGCACACACAGACACATGCGCATACTCAACTCCTGACCCCTCTCCCTCTCTCTCTGCGCCAGCGGGTGGATCGTGGCCCTGTCGTCGGTGAAGAAGAATGTGGGTGCTGGTGTGATCATGCTGCTGGCTGCTATGGTCTTCACTGGCCAGGC